TCCTTTAATCAGTTAGCCAATTAGAATTAGGGATATAAAATGTCATCTGACATCTTGTGGCAAGTCACTTTAGGAATACTGTTACATTTAAACTTTTATAAATATATAGTTATAGTTAGTTAGGATCTCTTTTTTCTCTCTCTCGACAGTTAATATCAGAACCTCCTGTATTCTAGCTCAGCTCTGGGAGGTGAATGGGTTACAGCAAGAGCAGATACATCTGGGTTCTGTGTAAGAACATCAGAATGGTCATACTGAGTCAGACCAAAGGTCCATCTAGGCCAGTGTCCTGTCTTCCAACACTAGCCAATGCCAGGTGCTTCAGAGGGAATGAACACAACTGGCAATCATTGAGTGATTCATCCTGTTGCCCATTCCCAGCTTCTTGCAAAGAGAGGTAAGGGACGGGCAGAACATGGTGTTGGATCTCTGCCCACACTGACTAGTTGCCATTGAGACACCTATTCGACATGAACATATTGCAGCCTTTTTTGAATCCTGCTACAGTCTTGGTCTTCTTCATAACATCCTCTAGCAGAGAGTTCCACAGGTTGACTGTGAAGAAATACTTTCTTTTGTTTGTAAGTTGACTGCCTGTTTGATTTCATTGAGTGACTCCTAGTTCTTTTGTTTATTTGAAAGAATGAATATCACTTACTTATTAAATTTTTCCAAATCATTCATGATTTTATAGACGCCTGTCATATTTCTTTCTTAATCATCTTTTTTCCAAGCTGAACTGAAAAGTCCCAGACTCTTTAATCTCCTCACATGGAATGTGTTCAATACTCCTCATAATTTCTGTTGCCTTTCTCTGTACCTTTTCCAAATCCCATGTCTTTTTTTTGAGATGGAGTGATAAAAATCTGCATGCAGTATTCAATATGTGGGTGTACCATTGATTTATATAGAGGCATTATGATATTTTCTGTCTTATACTCACTCTCTTTCCTAATGAGTCCCAATAGTCTGTTACGATTTTTGATGTTGTTGTCACTAGACATAGAGCAGATCAGACAAATATCCACAATGACTTCAAGATCTCTTTTATTGATGGTTCAGCTAATTTAGACCCCACCATTTGTATGTATATTTGGGAATATACTTTGCCGTGTGCATTACTCTGCATTTATCAACATTGAATTTTATCTGCCATTGTGTGTTGCCAAATCACCCAGTTTTGTGAAATCCCTTTGTGATTCTTTGCAGTCTGCTTTGGACTTAAGTATCTTAAATACATTTTGTATTCTCTGCAAATTTTCCCAGCTCACTCTTTTCACTTTTTTCCCCCAGATCATTTCTGAGTGTGTTGAACAGAGCTGGTCCTACTACACACCCCTGAGGGATACCACTGTTTACTTCTGTCCATGCTCACCATTTATTCTCACCCTTTGTTTCCCATATTTTGACTGGAGTACCTGATCATGCTTTCAGGATCATCTAATGATCCTAAGTTTATTTTAATAAGCCTTTTGTTATCTTAATTATCCTGCCTCTGTTTATAAACACCCTCCTCACAAAGTATGTGCTGCTTCCAGCTTCCAAATTCATCACATGTCACACACTTTATCTTCACTGGCTATTGAGCAGCAAAGCTTTTGTCATTCACAGGTGCTAACACACCCCACAAATGTAAACAGTGACTCCTGCCAACAAAGCAAACAGCACTCTATAGGGGGTGGAAGTTTTTTTTGTCCCGCAAAAGTGCGGACAGTGTTTTTATAATATCTGACTTTTTTTAGTGACATGCCTGTGTTGCTAAAGCTGTGTAGTGTAGACCTCCCTCAATCTGTGTTTTAGTTAAGAGCTCTGTCTGGGACTATAGAGAGTAGATACCTGGTAGAAAATTAAGGGAGGAGGCTACAGCTCCCCTTCCTCTCCCCAGTGACACCCCTGGTTCCTCTCTGTATCATGTATACTTCTCATTAGATCTCCCCCAATGACTGATCTGGGACAGTCCTATGCATAGACCTCTAACAGAGCTCCATACTGGAGGGTTTACTGCGCTTATGGTAGACATGGTAAATGCTTAAGCTAAGTCTATTCTAGACCCAGAAGATCAGCGTAAGGTACAAAACTCCAGTTACGTAAATAACCTTAATTAAGTAGCTGGAATTGACACACCTTAAGCTGAGCTTGGTGCCATCTCCATAGCAGGCGGTCGATGGGAGCAAACACTCCCATCAACTTCCCTTACATCACGCAAATCAAGAAGTAGTGGCGCCATCTGGGGGTACTCTCAGTGTTTGATTTAGCAGTCCTTACTAGACACGCTAAATCAAACCGCAGAAGGTTGAGCTCCAGCACAGTGAATGTAGACATGACCTTACATTTTTTTCTCTAAAAAAAAAAAAAAAATCTTTTTTACTTTTTTTTGTTTGCTTGACAATTCTGGTGCGGCTCTTCGCATTTTTTCCGCCACTGTTTTGGCTCTGTTTGTTAAATGGGTTGGCTACCCCTGGTTTGACTGGTTAAAATTAACTGGTGAGGGTGGAGCAGTTTCCCTACCTGCTGTGGGCAAAGGCCTGCTCCTGTGCAGTCCTTGCCTGCAGCTGGGCCACGTGCCATGCAAGCAGGGACTGCTCTGATCAGGAGGCCAGAGCAGCCCCTGCCTATGGCCGGGAAGGTGTGTTCAAGCCTCTTGCTCATCTCCTTTAATCAGTTAGCCAATTAGAATTAGGGATATAAAATGTCATCTGACATCTTGTGGCAAGTCACTTTAGGAATACTGTTACATTTAAACTTTTATAAATATATAGTTATAGTTAGTTAGGATCTCTTTTTTCTCTCTCTCGACAGTTAATATCAGAACCTCCTGTATTCTAGCTCAGCTCTGGGAGGTGAATGGGTTACAGCAAGAGCAGATACATCTGGGTTCTGTGTAAGAACATCAGAATGGTCATACTGAGTCAGACCAAAGGTCCATCTAGGCCAGTGTCCTGTCTTCCAACACTAGCCAATGCCAGGTGCTTCAGAGGGAATGAACACAACTGGCAATCATTGAGTGATTCATCCTGTTGCCCATTCCCAGCTTCTTGCAAAGAGAGGTAAGGGACGGGCAGAACATGGTGTTGGATCTCTGCCCACACTGACTAGTTGCCATTGAGACACCTATTCGACATGAACATATTGCAGCCTTTTTTGAATCCTGCTACAGTCTTGGTCTTCTTCATAACATCCTCTAGCAGAGAGTTCCACAGGTTGACTGTGAAGAAATACTTTCTTTTGTTTGTAAGTTGACTGCCTGTTTGATTTCATTGAGTGACTCCTAGTTCTTTTGTTTATTTGAAAGAATGAATATCACTTACTTATTAAATTTTTCCAAATCATTCATGATTTTATAGACGCCTGTCATATTTCTTTCTTAATCATCTTTTTTCCAAGCTGAACTGAAAAGTCCCAGACTCTTTAATCTCCTCACATGGAATGTGTTCAATACTCCTCATAATTTCTGTTGCCTTTCTCTGTACCTTTTCCAAATCCCACGTCTTTTTTTTGAGATGGAGTGATAAAAATCTGCATGCAGTATTCAATATGTGGGTGTACCATTGATTTATATAGAGGCATTATGATATTTTCTGTCTTATACTCACTCTCTTTCCTAATGAGTCCCAATAGTCTGTTACGATTTTTGATGTTGTTGTCACTAGACATAGAGCAGATCAGACAAATATCCACAATGACTTCAAGATCTCTTTTATTGATGGTTCAGCTAATTTAGACCCCACCATTTGTATGTATATTTGGGAATATACTTTGCCGTGTGCATTACTCTGCATTTATCAACATTGAATTTTATCTGCCATTGTGTGTTGCCAAATCACCCAGTTTTGTGAAATCCCTTTGTGATTCTTTGCAGTCTGCTTTGGACTTAAGTATCTTAAATACATTTTGTATTCTCTGCAAATTTTCCCAGCTCACTCTTTTCACTTTTTTCCCCCAGATCATTTCTGAGTGTGTTGAACAGAGCTGGTCCTACTACACACCCCTGAGGGATACCACTGTTTACTTCTGTCCATGCTCACCATTTATTCTCACCCTTTGTTTCCCATATTTTGACTGGAGTACCTGATCATGCTTTCAGGATCATCTAATGATCCTAAGTTTATTTTAATAAGCCTTTTGTTATCTTAATTATCCTGCCTCTGTTTATAAACACCCTCCTCACAAAGTATGTGCTGCTTCCAGCTTCCAAATTCATCACATGTCACACACTTTATCTTCACTGGCTATTGAGCAGCAAAGCTTTTGTCATTCACAGGTGCTAACACACCCCACAAATGTAAACAGTGACTCCTGCCAACAAAGCAAACAGCACTCTATAGGGGGTGGAAGTTTTTTTTGTCCCGCAAAAGTGCGGACAGTGTTTTTATAATATCTGACTTTTTTTAGTGACATGCCTGTGTTGCTAAAGCTGTGTAGTGTAGACCTCCCTCAATCTGTGTTTTAGTTAAGAGCTCTGTCTGGGACTATAGAGAGTAGATACCTGGTAGAAAATTAAGGGAGGAGGCTACAGCTCCCCTTCCTCTCCCCAGTGACACCCCTGGTTCCTCTCTGTATCATGTATACTTCTCATTAGATCTCCCCCAATGACTGATCTGGGACAGTCCTATGCATAGACCTCTAACAGAGCTCCATACTGGAGGGTTTACTGCGCTTATGGTAGACATGGTAAATGCTTAAGCTAAGTCTATTCTAGACCCAGAAGATCAGCGTAAGGTACAAAACTCCAGTTACGTAAATAACCTTAATTAAGTAGCTGGAATTGACACACCTTAAGCTGAGCTTGGTGCCATCTCCATAGCAGGCGGTCGATGGGAGCAAACACTCCCATCAACTTCCCTTACATCACGCAAATCAAGAAGTAGTGGCGCCATCTGGGGGTACTCTCAGTGTTTGATTTAGCAGTCCTTACTAGACACGCTAAATCAAACCGCAGAAGGTTGAGCTCCAGCACAGTGAATGTAGACATGACCTTACATTTTTTTCTCTATCCACAGGCTAAAGATTGACTGCACGTCCTTTTCCGTCATCTCCACGCACAACAGACCTGCTGACTGTTCTTTCTGGTGAGAGTGGTTTCTGCTGTCTTACGTGATTTTGCAGATGTGTTTATCAAGCAGATAGACTGAGCACTGTAACCCTCAGAAAATAGCTCTGCACCAGAGTCTGTTAAACTTCAGCAAGTGGTTATTTAATTTAGATCATTTTCTGTTGCAAATCTAATCTCAAACAGGGTCCATCAGCTGTGCTAGAGGTCTTGAAGCAGTTGGATAAAGACAAGGCTGGAAAACAGTACCTACCTCTCCCCAAGATTGATTTCACTTTGAGTCATTAGCTGGCTTTGCATTCAGAACTTTAATCACAGTCCAGAATAAATGCCTTGTTATCATTTATTTAAGTACATTTCTGCTACATGGAGTACGTTTTGCTCTACTCAATCTCGTGTGATTTGAGTAAATCTCTGTGCAAGGATATCTGATCAGAGAATGATCTTGCCTTTTAGTGCTGGACTCCCCTGCCGCTGCTAATAGCTATGGATAGTTGGAGATTCTCTTTCAGTTTATTACATGGCTTGTCCGTGGTCATGTATTATCAGGGACAGAATCCTTGCATTCTCCTGGTATGATATGCTATCATGTGCCGAAAGTGTCCGTCTGCTATGTACATTGGACAAACATCTCAGACACTTCACCAAAGGATTAATGCCCACAAAACAGATATCAGACAAGATCACAAAGAAAAAACAGTTTCTTGCCATTTTAACCAGAAAGGACACTCTCTCAATGACTTAACCCCCTGCATTCTGCTACAAAGACCTTTTACATCTGCACTTGAAAGGGAATCCTCTGAACTGTCATTCATGTTAAAATTCGACACTCTCCAAAGAGGAATGAACAAACACTTGAACTATCTTACCCATTATCAAGATAGCTTCCCCAATTATCACCTCTTAATACCATTAACTCACAAACATCCCACTCTCCCCACCTCTAATATCATCAATTCACAGACACTTACCTTCCTTCCTTCGCCCCCCCCCCCGCATCCCCCTCCTGTTCTGAAATGTGATTTGTCCTTTTCATATGTGTTCATTTTTTGTAATTGTATCCTTTGGTATATATGGTTGTGACTATTTTCTTCCACCATTTGATCTGAGGAAGTGGGTCTGGCCCACGAAAGCTCATCATCTAATAAACCATCTTGTTAGTCTTTAAAGTGCTACATTGTCCTGCATTTTGCTTGCATTCTCCTGTCTTTGCAATTTGAGAAGCACGTTGGTAGGAGTGGGGAAAAGGGAAGAATATAAAATGTCTATTCATTAAGAATGTGAATGTGTAATCTTGTAGATGCTTCTTACATTGCTTGGTAAATAGTAATGTTTATGAACAATGCTGGTTAGATGCTAGGGCCTTATCTGCTGCTGCTTATCACCCTATTGGCAGTTCTGCTGTCACTGAGAAGTAAAAGCAGTCTCCCAGAAGTGCCTGCAAGCTATTTCATCTAGCTGATGCTGTTTGTAAGGAAAGCCTTGCAATATCTCAGATGTTTGTAGGATAGGGGATCTGTTTGGGTGCTGGGCAGCATATAACTGTCTTGTGAAACGATGAGGTCTCTATTCAAATAGGGTCTGTGTCTCAGGTGCTTATGATGCATGCATTTTTGTAAGTCAGGCTGCAGTTTACAGCTACAGTGATATTCAGCTGGGCATGCAGTGCTGCTTAGCACCTATTCATAGAGCTACCTGGGAGGAAGATGCAAATGTGTTATCTACCAGGCTGCACGATCGCACTGCTGAAAAGCTTGGGTAGGCCAGCTGTACTGTCTGCTGCTTTTCCTATTTTCCCGGTGGAGTTGGACTCAGAGACTGAGGCCTTGTCTACACTTAACAGTTTAAAGCACAACAGCGCTTTAAACTGAAAGTGTGGCCATGTCAGGCGTGCTGGGAGATTACCATCTTGATGAGGTAGAGCATTGTAACTTGTACTGGGGGGGGGGGGGATATTTTTTACACCCCTGAGCTAGAAAGTTAGCGCATTGTAAAGTGCCAGGGTAGACTTGGCCTAACACAGGGAGTGGCTATCGAAGAGTTATTCTTTCTCATTAATTAAGAGAAGAAGCCATTTGGCGTTTTTTGACACACAGCTTGTTTTAATCCTTTGGGGTTACATCTCAGTGTAAAACCGCTATCTATAAGCTTGTAAATACATCTTCTGAACCATTTGGGAAATGCTAGTCTTCACAGGATTTAAGGTCCTGGTTAGCCCAAGGTAAATGGGATAGCATACAGTCACCTTTGCATTTGAAGTCAAATGGGATGTATTATTTCCTTCAAATTTTGTATATCCAGTTATTGACTTCATTCGGCTTATAGTATTTATTTAGGTACAGTAACACACAGTTGGCACTTTTTTAATCTTTCCTATAACTGATAGTGACTGAAGTTGATTTCTTATAGTAGCATCACTTAATGAGAAAAATTGAACTCAAATGGTTATTGGTATAGGTATAGCCACAGGTGGAAAAAATATGCCTCATTGGTTATTGTTACTACTTGGGCTCAGTGGATTATAATCAGTCATATGGCCTTTGTAAGCTCATAGACTTGGTAAAACCTGAATAAAAAGGAAGATTAACTTTTGTATTAAAATAGCTTTGACATTGTAGTAAACAGAAGTGAAAGAAGCTTTGAGGGGAGGAATGTGTATGTAATAGATGGGATGGGGTGGTGGGAGAAGGTAATAGTACTCTGGGGCCATACTTCTGGGAGTTTCTGACCAATGTTTTCCTCTTCTGTACCATAATCAGTCAGACAGGCTTTAGGACCTTTGTAGTGTCATGGGCCCTCAAGCAGTGAGAACATAAAAGCTTTGCCCTGAGTAATGAAGAATCCATAGACAATAAATTAGATATATCTGCCTGTGGTATGGAAACCTTTGTTCTGATTTTGGTAAAAATTGATAGATTCAGCTTCCATCCATTACAGGACTAGAAAGAGACTATAAGTAGGGCTTTTGGACTGTGAGGGCAGTCAGCTCCTTCCTTTAATCTCTCAGTTCCGTAGTCATGACAATGGATTCACAGCCATATTGTGAAAGAAGCCAGTCAAGTTCACTATACAGTGTGGCAGCAGGCTGACTGCAGACATGCTCTCTCGAAGGGATGATTTATAATCGTGTGCTTTATTTTAAATTATGAATACATTTTTTTAAAAAAAATCCACCTGGTTTTAATTTGTACCACAGCTTCGAAACATGGCACGTGATAAAATGTGAGGAACAAGGGTTTGATGGGGCTTATTTTGTGTTGGAAACATTGCTGCATTTCAGCATCCAGCTCTCCAGGCAGCCAGTGTAACAAAAAAGCAGAAGGACGGAATTTTGCATAAACAAACATCTAATCCTGGAAGCAAGCAGGAATCAAAACTGAAGTGGTCAGACTATATTGCACAGAGTCTGAAATAGGCAGTCATGAATAAAGTGAAGCGTGCACCTTAAAAGCATTATGCCCAACATTTAGAGGCTAATTTTTTTTCATAAGGTGGTGTTTGAATTAAGTGGAACCAAATTATACAAGTCTTAGAGCACAGAACAGTGAAGTAGAACAGAAACATGAGCCTTGCCTGGCTGTCTTAGACTGCCCAGACACTAGGCTATTTTCTTAATTTATTTTCAGGCTTTTTTGACCTGTCGTCATTCTTTGCAAATGTGTGGGACATTTAGGGTAGAGCAGTCTGTCCTTTCTGAGCTTAAATTTATCCAGTAAATTGGGGAGAAAGAGGCCAGTTAGTTTAGCTACCTTTATTTTGGTAACTATTTGAATCTCCTGTACTTTGAAGTAGGGTATGCTGTGGGATATTGATCACCCTGGATACCCGCTCATTTCAATGAAAGTTAAGGCTACTCAGTGCTTGGCAGAGTGAAGCTCTAACTACAGTCATTAGGGCAATGAGAGAGTAACGTGCTGATGCAGTTTAACCATTCAGGTCCATCTGTGGGTATGTCTACGCTGCACATTGCTCAGGGTGGCATGTACACTACAGACACTGTTGCTCCCACCACTTCTCCCACCCGCACTGCAGACAGTTAGGTTTAGATGAGAAAAGACAAAGCTAACCTTAGGGGATGTACTCATGCCACATTTAAGCAGTCCCTCCCATGTCCATGTTGCTATCTTTAGCAGTGTAATGTCTCATTGCTTCCCTAATGCTGGTGTATTTATTTCCCTGTTGTGAAGAAAAGGGGTACGTCTAGACCTCCGGTATCCTGAAAAAACTCTGCCGCATCCAAGGAAGAGCAGATGCATTTTTTCGGCATCCCCATAAACCTCGTTTTATGAGGAAAAAAGGATGTTCCAAAAAAGGGCTTTTTTTCCCCAACATATGGCCCAGTGTAGATGGGCCAAATGTCAGAAAAGCCTCTTCCGAAAAAAGAATCAGAAATAGCTACTCAAATTGCAAGCCACAATTTGCGTATCTTTTTCCGGAAGAACTGTGTAGTCTAGACACAGCCTGGCTATGTTAGAGGGGAGCTGCCAGAGCCTTTTACTGCTGCTTGTAGCTACACACTAAAAGGTGGCTGAATCCTGCTTTTCAATGTGATGTGTAAGCTATCCATACCCTAAACCAGAGGTAAGAAACCTTTTTTTTGGCCAGGGGCCACTGACCCACAAAAAATCAGTTGGGGGCCACACGCAAGTGAGAAGCCTCTGACTGAGAAGGTGAAAGATACTCCCCACATTCCCCTTGCACATCGGAGCCTAGGGAAGCCCAAGCTAGTGGATTTTGTATGCTCCAACCCTGTGGCTGGGGGGATGAACTACCAGCGTGGGCTCCGGAATGCTGAGCCTCGGGGACTGGATTCAGGCAAGCTGGGGGCCACATTCAGCCCCTGGTCCTGAGGTTCCCCACCAGTGGTGTTCAGTGTAGCCTATGTGTGAATCACGTTCATTCTCTGGTGCCAGTTTGTGACAATGGGCACGTCGCCTGAGCAGGCATAATCTCTACGGCATCATTTCCTGTGTTAAAGCCATGGCTGGAACTCTTCCTCCTCTCATTAAGAACCCTTTC